ATAATTATAAAAAATAAGTAAATAAATAAAGTTAAATAAAATAATTCTAAACAAAAAAAAAGAAGTCCCCAGGGGTCACAGACAGCAGCACTGCCATCACCCAGGAGCTGGTTGGAAATCAGACCTTGGACCTTGTCCTTCCTACGAGTCAGTCTGCATTGAAGCAAGGTCTCAGGACCAGCAATTGTCATAATGGCTATGTCGCTGGACTCTCATGTAGTCGACCGCGGTTCAAGTCCCAGATCCAGTGGCTTAAACTCACGCCAGGCACATGTGCATGCATGCCCAAGATCCCAAGAGGAGAATGGAGGAGAAGGGATTGCGGCGTGGCCATCCTCCTGAGGGGTGATTTCTCGCTTTCTGTCTGTCTCTCTCTGACTTTCTGGAGAGCGCACATGCCCTATAGCAAAAGCCTCTCAAAAAAAAAAAAAAGAAAGAAAAGAGAAATAAGGTCCCAGGTGAGTCACGTGCACAAGGTTGGAGCAGGGCTGCCAGATGTCAGCCTTGGCCTCTGCATGGCGTCGGCCTGGATGCCCTGTGCCCCAGGACCCAGTGTGACCGTGTCCGACCACAGGAAGCCTCATCCATGCTCCTCGCCCATCCAAGAGCTCAATCTTGGCCTCCACGGCCGCAGGGTCGTGCCTGGCGAGGCCTGAGTGCCCAGTGGCCTCCCACAGGCACTCGGATGTTCCTTGACTGAGGGAGGCTCTTAACAAAGGAAAGTGGGCTCCCAGTTTACTTCTCAAATATGGTTGCATTTTTGTTTTTGTTTTTCTTTTATTTTAATTGCTTGAGAGTACATGCAGCTCATTAGAGAGAGAGAGAGAAAGAGAGAGAGAGGGAGAAAGCATCCCCAGTGAGCTGTGGTCAAATCACAGTCCCGTCTCCATTTCCCTATCCTGTTAGTATTCGGGACACGCACACGTGTACCCGGCATGTTTTTTCAAGTTGCCAGCAGCACGGGATTTGAACCACAGTCAGGATCTGCTGTGTGGGATCTGGCTGCCCTAACAAGGCCAAAGCCAACCTTGCATTTTCCTTGAAATGTGAGCAGTCGTGGGGCCAGCAGGTGGTGTGGAGGTTAACATGACTGGATCCCACATGGCTGACTGCACAGTTCGGGACCTAGTGGCTTGAAAATCATGCCAGGCACATGTGTGTGCAAGCCCCAAATCCCAGCAGGTTTATGGAGGAGAAGGGCAGGCAGTGTGATCATTCCACCGGGGGGTGACTTCTCATTCTCTCTCTCTCTCTCTCCCTGTCGGTCTCTCTCCAGTGAACACCATGTGCCCTGTAGCAAAAACTGAAAAAATAATAATGAGCAGCCATGCTAAATGTAAAGAACAAGAAACCGTCTGAGGGACTGAGTGAGCACGCCAGAGGGCTGGGGGTCATAGAGCCCTGTGAAGGGCGGGCGTTCGCAGCTAGTAGCTGGAGACAGCGAGCGCCCCTCCCCAGGACCCTCACTCCGCACAGCTGTGCCTCCTCATGCCTGCTGGCT